ATGCCACAGTCCTGGTTATATAGATTCGTATAGTATGTTATTTATAGTCGACAGCGACAATTTGAGCTCTATATTGGTGATTGACAGAGCAAAAAAACATACCAAACTTGATTGAAAAAAGTTATTGGGTTATACATGGTTATACCATGGAACTATGTGGTTTATAGTTCCATGGTTATACTGTTCGGACAAAATCCAAAATGTCCCAAATCTCACAGAAAATGAAAAAAATACATACAAGAATATGGGCTAAACTATGTATCATCAATACGAGTCAATACGGTGAATTGACATATATTTTGGGTTTGGATGTTAGATTATATGCTCTTGTTTTAAATGCTTGATATGCTTTAAAAACCGCTAGTCAATGCGAAAAATTTGCCACATTTTCATCAACTGAAATATATGTGTTCTGAGTATATATGTACAGTGTATTAAAATTCAAGTTGAATTGAGCTCTCAGCTCAGTTGCGAGTAAAGTGTCCATCCCACCCTTAATTGCATTGTAAATACATTTTATTCAGTAATACAATTTCTTTTACTTTTCTATTATTTCATTACATTAAAAGCGCCGAGAAAATTACATTCCCTTGGGATAGTTGGTTTCTTGACAAATGAACATCGCTAGGCATCTTTAATGTTTACTTAATTGTCCATTAGCGGGCACGTGACCATATCGGTCACCATGGTGGCGCTCACCTTGCCCAAACTATACATCTCATTTGAATAATAACTATAGCCTGTATAACACAGTTGCATTGCAGTGGGGGTATAAGGATTTGTTATGGGGCTATAGGACGGCATTGCTTTTTCGGAATTTTTGCATTTTCTGATCGACTGAAACATGACAACAATGGCTAGAGGATCGTATAAGCTAGAACTGGAGGAGCAGAAGCGAAACGTGTTTGTCACGCAGCTTGGAGCTCGACAGTAAGTACAATCAGTGGAAGTTTCTTGTCCTCGTTTATTAGGGGAAGCCATAATGTCAAGAATGAAGATACTGTAACGTTGCAGACGCGAGAGGGTGGATAGTGTAGCAGACCACAGCGGCGAAAATATCTCGAGACTTTATAAAAAACATCTTTTTTTTTTTAAAGAAGCAAATACAACTTATCGGAGAGCGTTATATAAAAGAAACATGTATTTTTGTTGTACGGGTGCATATGAATAGAGCGTAGTATATGTGTACAGTACTGGTCGGGTGACCGTTTGTTATAGTGTTGTATTCACGATCGTTCATTCATGGCCGACAACGTTGTCAAGGGATTCCGAACTAATTCAACCAGTGTCGTTCTTTATTTAATTAAACACTGGAACTTGTGTAATTCTAGTGTGAGTATGTATATGTTTTACTGGATCTCCGTGTGCTTAAATACAAATAGCCGCTTTCGACCAAATGCCTACTGTTGTGATTTCTTCAGACTTGTTTTGTTAGATCATTCAACCGCGTGGTTAATGCCGCCGATCAAGGAAAGCGTTGTAAACAACTCAAATAAACACAAATCCCGATTTTGGACAAATTTCCCCGTAATAAATGATAATTAATATATTCTTTTCGTTGCAAATCATAGTTATACATTTATTTAATAAATAATATTAATACATATCACATATTGACTTTTTAATATTTATTTCATCATTTTAGAGATGAGGAGGAGGCAGAGGAGGATATTCGTCAGTACCCAGTCGTCAAGGAGGTGAGAAATGATTTATTTGTAAAATTAGTTTTTGCAATTTTTTACAAATATTTTGTAAGCAGTGAAATTCGCAAAAGAATTTTTGTTACATTAATTTTATCACCAATTTATTAAAACTGTGACAATTTCTGAAGGTTGAAATGGAACAGTTTTATAGATTGAAATGACACACATTGTTATGTGCAATAATAATAAAAAAGGTTGGTATTATTATTTTAATAAGTATAATGGTGAATACTTTACAGAAAAGTAGAATTGCTTTTACTTATTTACTTATTTAAAAATAATCCTATGAAATACAATTTGCTGCAAAAGCTGTATTGTTGTCTATACTATTCGTCCATATATGGAATTGTTTACACATTGTTGAAAATAATAAACAACATATTGTTATGTACACAATGTAAGATCAATATTGAATAAATCTAGACATGGAACTCCTTGATTGAGGCAATACTTTTCATTGATTTTGAAAAAGACCCTGAATAACAAGAGATTTTCATTTTATTTGGTTCTAACGACAATGACAGACGGCTGGGAAACTGATTGAAAGTGGTCTGAATACTATGCAAAAGACGTTGCTACTTAAACGAGAAGTTGAAGTGGATAAAGCCAATCTCGAGCTGCAGGAGAAGAAAGAAGAATTTCATAAGCGTATGCACATGTGTGAAGAAAGAGGGGTTGATATACAGAAGAAACAACAAAGAGTACGTAGAGGAGATATTATTAGCTTTCAATTGATATTTAATGAAATGTTATTTTAAATTATTTGAATAGTGTACTGCCATACTCATAAATGTCAATAGTCTTTCTGTTGCATTAGAAATCTTTTGACAGAAGGTTGAATTTTTTTTATCAGTTTATCTGTTAATTTATTTTGCAGATGAAAGACAGGGTTACCAAGTTTGAAAAGTTCATCAATGAGAATGAAGCAAAGAGAAAACGTGCAATTCAGAAATACCAAACAGAATTAAAATTAAGAGAATCCAAAAACATAGAATATGATTTACTGTGTCATCAGTTAGAAGAGTTAAAAGAAAAGTAAGATTTCATGTTTATGTAATTATCAGAACCAAATTTTGAATTATTATAATAATATTTATTATTCTGAATAATTCTTTTTTTTTTTCGATTTATGTGAATTTATTATATAACTTAATATTTGACATTATTTCTATGTAATTTTAATTTCAAAATTGTTATATTGACAGACATCAAAAATTATTGGATAAACTAGAAAGATACAAGATTTTTGAAGATTATTTGGTGAAAGTGTTAGACGTCTTACCAGAAAGTAAGTCTCAGTTTGCTTCTTACAACTCATTTTTTTTGGTCTCATTAGCTTTTAAATAAATCATCTCAAATTTGCCTCATTGCATATTTACAATCAATACATTTTTTTTATTGCATTAAAAATCATTAAATTATAGATAAAGTGTTATATGATATGATATTACCAGGACATGTATTAATGGAGGTATTAATTCTGTCTAGGCATGTTTGACAAAATCTAGTATTATTTCTAATTTTAGTTGTGCGTACTCAGCATAATTTCTATTGTTCTTTACACTGTAATTTGTTATCTATTCCTAATATTTCATTATTCTGCCAAATAGCAGACCATTAGAATAATTATAAATATGCCTTTTTATCTACCCTCTATTTCCACCTTTGTACCTCTAATTTAGAATATATATTCTTGAGATTGTTAAGCCACTATAAACTGCTCACATTTGTAATTAATGGCGACAGGCGTGTTTAATAACTTGTGTCATTAACATAATTATGTGGTGACTTTGGTTGTAAGTTTGGTTGTAACTAAAATCCAGTGTTATTGTATATTTTGTTTATTATCAAAATGTTCATGACATTAAATACTTAGCTTTATTTTCGTTTTTCGATTTTCTAGACTATCTTGAATTGAACGATTCAATGATCCGCAGTCTCATGGACCGACATCGTACACTCAGTTTGACCAATCAGAGCTTAGTAGAGCGGGTCAACGAGTTGTATGATCAACACGAACAGGAAAAAGAAAGATTGGAAGATATGAAATATAATCACAATCAACAGAAACTGGTGAGTTCTATCATTCAATCGGCTATTCTGTGTCTATTAAAGGAAGTGCATGCTGTAACATGCAAATTAGTCACCTCCAGCATACTCTTTTTCACGTACTATTGGTATTAATATTCACATGGATTATTAAGGGCATAAATAAATTGTGCATCAAACTGGAACCATTTCCAGTCTGTAGAGGAAACGCTTTTTATAAATGAGAAGAATTAATAGAAGAAATAGTTTTTCTAGTTTTGTTAATTTTACCTTTTGAATACTACACATTTTTCTGACAAAATGTTGATGCAACACTATTTTTTGTTCCAGTACGCGGTTAACCGTACGAAGTTGCATTTATAGAAAAAAATATTATGCTTACAAGAAATGTGATTTGAGACTGTGTCTGGTAAATCTTGTGCAAGCGCACATTTTTGAAAAACTATGAAACAACATATGCATGTTTATTTTGTGAAATATCAATTAACATTCAAAAGGTTAAAAACAGTGGTATATACACATAACACATGTGAAATACATCTTGTTTACACAAAATTTGATCATGCGATTGCACATTAGCCCTTAATGAACAAGTTGGATGCAATAAATAAAAACATATGGTTTGGTTTTGAATTCAAATAAAAAAAAATAATGAAAACTGGGATGTGTGATTTTACATCAAAGATGATTATTACCTGATTCCGAGACTGTAAATTGTTTTATCTTTTGTTTATTTATAGGTGATCAACTCAAAGCTAGCTGAACTGCAAAGTATAAATGAACAAAAAGAAGAGACCAATTCACATTTAGAAGAATTACTTGCTAATAACCAACACAGTTATAGGATACAGGTAAATCAATTCATAGTAAAAATATGGAATTAATTATACCCCCTTGGTGGTAACAAACAAAGAACATAGCCCCCTCCCATTTCTCTCTCGAAATAGTCCCTTCCAACCACTCTTTCAAAATAGCCCCTTCCATCTTGCTTTCAAAATACCTCCTCCCATCCTTTTTTTCAAAATAGCCCTTCCGACCCCCCTTTCAAAATAAACCTTCCCATCCCTATTTAAAACACTATATGACCTCAACATTTTAATCAGTTTAAGTGAGTTTCGGCTAATTACTTCAAACTCAATTTTTAATTGATTATTAAAATACAATTTTTTTTAATTAGCTTACTGTCACTTATTCATTAATTAATTAACAGTGCTCAACTCATAAATACTAATTTGAAATTGAAAATGTTCTTGTGTCGCATTTATAATGCTTTCAACAACACAATAGATTATGTTTACTACTCATCATTAGAATCTGAATTGAAGACTAAGTAACTAATATCCCTAGCGTATGGCTGGTAATTTGATTTGCTTTGTATATAATATAATCTGATTTTGAATGGCTGTAGTCACTAATGAGTTCATATGAGTCTATCTTCACAGATTAGAAGTAATTTAGTGTTCACAGCATGTCGCCATCGCCCCCTCCTGTCTAGTATCTTTAATAAAGACCATAACTTCATTTTACTGTCTGAAATGAAATATTTATTTATCAATTTTCATGGTGTAAAACAATACTGTGTTTGCTCTTTAACATTATTATAATAATAATTTACAGAAAATAATCACCCCAATAAGAGTATTGAGACTAGCACAGATTCACTCTTAGTAGTAGAATTACGTAAATGAAAAAGGTGTTTTTATAGTCAAAATAATATTTTAATGACGCAGCTTACAATTAGTTACATTAGAGATGCATTTTTAATAGAGCACTGATAGCATTATTTTGCTGTAATATCATTTAAATTGAATAAAAACAATTAATCATCTATTGATTGTTTTACAATTTAGAAAAAAAGATTTGTTTAAACTCTTAGTAGAAATCTGAAGTTTCAGTGTTGTACACCAGCAGATGTGAAAATGTTATATCATAAAACATTAATTCTAGACATAACAAAATTATAAACAATCAGCCTGAGATGTTGTTATATTTATTCTTATGACCTAATGTGCTGTAATTTGTATGGTCGCCTTGTGTCCAATGAATTTTTTTTTAATTTTTCAAATGCTCATTACCTGTTAACACAAATGACAATTAATTATTTTTAATTACTACAGTTAAATTATCCTATGATCCTACTCATTTTCAAGTATGAGCCCAATAACTTAAATTATCCATATTGACTTTTCTGTTTGCCCTTTCTTTACAGAGTCAAACTTTAGGACAGATTCTGATGGCTGTAAACAATTTAGCTGAAAGGTGCCATAAAAAGCATGATCCACCATTGGATACCTTGGATACATCAAGCAGACTCACTCTGATACAGAATTATTTTATAGAACGAATAGGAGTTGAACAAATGGCGCGTTCATCACCGACTAGCTCACCGCCAACATCAGTTCGAGGTGGGCATGTACAGCAAGTGAGAATCTTAAGCCCGACAACAAAAACTATTCATATTCCTCGAAAATGATTTCAATAAATGGCTATTTATTGCAAATTATCAAAGAGAGATAGAGTTGCCATGACGATGTCCTTTCACTGTAATAGACCACACTATGGCGTCAAAGCATGCTCAATGCTTAATTAAATTTACAAAATTGTGAATACAGTAAATCAAGAAATTTAAATTAAAAGTAATTATCAGAAATATTCTGACATTTTTCAAGCCATATTTTATAAAGTATTAAAGACAGCACTCTTTATTTTTTAACTATTACTGGTGTTGCAGCCATAATTGACAAATCATGTACAGTTCATTTGAGAATTTGTCATACCTTACTATGTGTAAATGTACTCAATGTTTTGCTTACTGCTATGTATTGTAGATATCAGCATTATTAAGCTATCATATGCTTTTATTTTTAATAATATGTTCAAATTGTATATGTTCTATATTGCAGTCTAGTTTTTGAAGCCTTTGTGTTTACTCTTCATCAAATGTCCAATTTCTATTTGGCCCTTTCAAAAAAGTTTTACATAAGATACTGTTCAATCTCTTCACATTGAAGATTGGTGTGACGACACATTTATTTGTCAAAAGCAAATGTTCTTTTAGTGGCAATCAGAACATTATATTTTATGTCCCTGGAAAGGCCAAACTTAATCAGTATGTTTTTCACAAGTGTGAAATGAGTGACACACAAATTGCACTATCTGTGGCCTTGTCAACATTGTTCTTTCTGGAACACACTGTGTTTATTGCCTTTTTTTCATAATTTTTAATTTGAGTAATACTGGGCCAAAATTAACTTTGTGGTAATATGACATGTAATATGGTATATCACAGCATGCAAATAGCTGAAAAAAAAAGAAGCAGTTTGTATATACATAGCATCAAACCTAACAAATTCATTTGTACATGGATTAAAAAAATTGGGAAAAAAAAAGTGTTAAATACAGCTCTTTTGAAGTCCTGCAACAGATTATTGACACACTTTTTGCAAAAGCATTCTTGCCCCCCCCAAAACTCAACAACCTGTTGATGTGAGAAATATACATTTTTTTCTATTTATTCCATTTAATCAACATTCCCATGTATATGACATACATCCTATTTCAATAATTCTGTGCTATCGATATGTGATATTAATTCCAGCAACATATCAGCAGCTTTCTTAGTTATCTATTGTTTTTTTTGTACTTCTCCCATTGTGTGTATATATGTATATATATATATATATATATATATATATATATATATATATATATATATATATTTTGTTTTTGGCCTAAATAACAAAGTGGGTTTTTTGTGTCCCTGCTGCATTGAACACATGTTCCTTCAAAGAAGGATGTCACAGTCCAGAATGTAGGTATAGACAAGGTGGATTGTTGAAATAGCTCTACTGTGGAATACTTTATTTTCGCTTGGAATAAATTATCACTGAAGAAATGAATCAGTGTAAATAAAATCCAGCGAATATACCTTTTTTCCTATCTTTTACATTTAACTCGTCAAAAATCAGTGAAAATAAATTCCATATAACACACATAAAAAGTTATTTCATTGAAATTAATGTATTTTACAGTATTCTACATGAGGCGCAGGGAAAAAAAACCAAAAAAAAAACCTGGGCATAATGTGTTTAAAGTCTAAAAGAATGTTTGTGAGATGTATATTTCATGTGATGAGTTAGTAACTTTGATGGCACAATGAAATTCCCCAAGTTATTCAAATACCAAACCTACATATAGTGCAAATTATCGATTTACTAAATTGTGAAAGGCAATATATATATTTACTATTAAGTCCTATGAATTAAAGATTTAAGAATCTGTCTGTGCATTTCTTTGTTCTCCCAGTAGACTAGTTCTTTGTATCCAAGGCAGGCGTATGTGCGTGTTTGCTATGCTCCTGATCATTGTTTTGAATTTCTGTAGTCAAGGTTGTCTTTGAAAAATGGAGATTATTAAATATTTGGCAATACAGAATCTCAAAATGTGTGACTATGGAACCTCAAAGTTTGGATTGTGGGATTGCAAAGTATCTTCAACTGTACATTATGATTAAACCAACATTTTTTGTTTGTATGCATATTAAAGGGCATGCCCCTCAGGGCAACAAACGTATACTTACCATATACGGTGTTGGTAAATAAATGATTATAAAATTACCTTGTGTCAATCTTCCTAATCACACTGATTCATAGCATACTCAAACCTGGTCTAAACTCTGAACACATTGTCAGCTGACACACTTTTTTCCCCATTCATTTTGGCTCTCTGTGGAAGTTTTCTCAGTTACTATAATTCAGACAGTCATATTTTGCAGCATGCACTTTATTTTCATATAACAACAATTTTAAATTTATTTTGTCTGCCACATTAGAGAAGATCTGATAGTTGTTCAGCAGAAAAAATTGAAAAGTTTTAATCATGCAATAAAAAAAACTCTTGTCAAAATACAATTGGTCTAGTATCCGAGTGTTCTGAAGGTCTGAGACCTAGACATTATGCCTAGCACCACTGCCTAAACATGGTCAGTCAATTGAACTGTCGATCATCTGGAGTTTAATTGCCTGCATCGATGACCAATGAAGACTGTTCAAAGTTTTTTCCATTATTATAAAATCTGAATAGCTAATGAGTATACTGGGCATCAATGCTAGGCATATGTTAGAGATCTCAGAACATGTATAGATTCTAGGCAAAGATACAATGTACATTTTACTATATATTTACACATGTAAAAAGTTCATCTATATATGGATATTCTAACTATTTTATATTTAATCATTATTGATAGAGAAAATGCATAACAGAGAATCAAGAAATGCATAAAGAAAATAAATATTTCATAAACAAAATTACTTCTAATATAAGCATAAGAGGCTGCATTCCAGACAAGGAAGGCTTTAAAAATTCAACTGGCAAGCAATGCATACAATAATTAATTCAATATTGCACTTTAAAAGAAGAAACAAATGGACACAAACTAATATCGTGAAAAAAACATTGGTTCTAGTGTTCAGAACTACATGCAAGTTCTAATTCTACATTGAATCACCTAAGTTGTCATTCAGTGTGTGTTGAAATTTTATGTAAATAAACAATGTATTTTACATGTGTTATGGGATCCATATCAAACACAACGTGATACAACAACTGTGATGTTTTTTACAGTAGTACTGTTAATTTGGCATGAGACAAATCCAAGAAAATCAAGAAATGTAGTGAACTCGCATTTTCTCAAATGAACAAATATTGAACGTTTTACAGTACAGTTCATACACTGGTTGCTGATTAGTAATTGGTTCAAACAACAAACAGCCAATAGGAAGGCAAATCTTTCAGGAAGTAAAATCACCTACATAATATATACCATTTTTTGGAGAGGACTGAATTGTTAGAAAAGAAAAATTGAAACTTTCTTTTGAATGGATGAATTATTAGAAGTAGATTAGAATCAGTGGTAACACCAATGTAGAAGTCTATGGAGGTTAATTTAGAGAGAAAAGGTGTGAAAATGAAGTTACAGAGAAAGTAACTAGTTTCATTTCTCGTCAATAAGAATCGTCCAATCGTAACATCAGGGTGGATTCAATTACTCGCAAAAAATATTCAAATAGCCAAAAATAGCAAAAATCAGGTGGTCCAACAAGTATTAGGATTGCGATATAAATATCATAAAATTAAAAAAATAGCCTGTGGTAATTATTATATATTATGCAATAAGTCATTGCATCTGGTGCTGGTGTAAACACCCTTACTTCATTTATAACTTCTGTTTATTATTGTAGACCTAATTACAATCTATACACATACACTGAATATAAAAACATGGCAATGACTAGTGACTGATGCGATTACACTAAAAATACCACAATGTCACTTTTTACAGGGTGCCTGTTTTTGCACTATGTATGCATGTAAAAAATCCATGTGAACAAAGATGGCAGCATTGAGTTTTGAGCACATCAACAAGTATAAAAAAAAAGGGAGACATTAAAAAAGGTTTAACTAGTTAATTTCTGAAATGATTGAAACGTATTAACAATATTTATTGTGAATCGCCTCAAGATTGAAACTCGTTTGTGATTGCCATTGTGTGAGTGCCTTGGATTGTGAAAATATCAATTTTTATAAACAAAAATCCCACACATGCAGTGACAACTGTCTTTTTGTGAAAATTATTTTCACATGTGTTGTAAACGTTTCATTGAATCTGATGACTATTGAAATGTGAACATTTCATGTACATATAGTAAAAGGAATGATTGATCATGGCATGACACTGGAATTAAGGAAGTGCTATGATCACAACTACTAAGGCTACTAAAAAGGTTATGAATGGAAAACTGTAATTTATACACATATGTAAAGCAAAATATTGTTCTGACTCATTCTACAAACTCAGTAGTGTTGGGCCAGATAAAATTATGAGAAGGGTTGAAATTGTCCTATAAAAAAGTTTTATTCCGGATAGAAAAAGCCGAACCACAATAAAATTTAAGAACACTTAAACGACACTTAAATAGCACTGAAACGGCTAACAGAATAAACTTTAAAATAATTGAACACAGTTTTTTCCAACAAAACTGTCCAAAGCATAATATTTTTTGGCTCAATTTTCCTAATGCATAACCAACTGGTTTATTTGTTACCCCACACAGTACTGTACACTTTTAATTTACTTTTCTATGGATGATGACTTGTTTTTAAACAGTGATCATTTCGTCAGAATAATTCATGGTTATAAATAGTCTTCGTCATGGTGAAAGTTATATAATTTATCATAGCCAAATAATGGCAAAGGATTAATGGGAACCCAAGTGAAGTTGGACTACCACAGACTACTCAGGGAAAGTTGAAAATATACTGAATACACAGAATACAAATTGAAAGTAAAAGAATATTAACCCTGTTCCCCTTTAACAAAATGACCTAAGCATAACTTTTATTGGCGAGTGAAGTAGGCTCACAAAAAAAAACAAAAAAAAAACACAATCTCTGATCCAGAAATAAGCAAAGGCAGAAAGACAAATTTCTCTTTCAAGACAAACTTCAAAATATAATTCCTACTCAAATAACATTTTAGCAAGATAAAGTATACTCTATGAATTATAAATATATTTTATGATAACAGTATGAAGCCTATATTAATGAGGTCTCTCTGTTGACATTCGGTAAAATTTGATATGTAGTGAATGAACACATGTCACAAAATACACCCATAAATGTTTTAAAGTTGTTCTATCTATTTGAATCAGTTGACATGACGGAATCTATGTTACATGATGAAATCCGTGTGATATGACAAATGCAACAGTGACAGCATTTGCAAGATATCTGGGTTTAGAATTTCTACAAAATAGCCAAAATTTACCTATCACTCTTGAAGATTCATTGGTGATATGTTGACAGTTTATCTATAATATTGGATACGGTGGTAACATCTGTTTTGAGCTACGTTACTTCATATGTACGGTATTACAATTTGAATATCTGTACTTGGCCTTGGCCAACAAGTCTCATGAAACAAATGCCAGTCAATCATGAAGTTGCATACACTGATCCATTAATTACTCACATTAAAAAACAATAAAATAAGCTTATTATACACATGAACATCAGTGAAGTGTTGGATAAATCCGTCTACCCAACTGAATAATATTTTCAACTCAATCACACTTTCAATATCCTACCAATTCAATAGTGAAGCAAATGTCATTTCAATGCGCTGTTTCACCAAAAGTAGTACAGGTAACAAATGTATAGGTTTGTCAACTTTGTGACGTCCTTTGTTTACTATCTAATAAATAATATCTCTCAATAATCAGAATTAGCTTATGATCAGCATTATTGACATTATTGCCCATAATATGTTTCAACACACCACCTGCTGGAAATCTCCAAGGATATCCAAAATGAATGGTAAAAAATGGCATCAGCAGGCATTGAGTTAACAATGACAGACACATGGATATTTAACAGTAGCTGTAAACAACATTGTTATTTTATTTTTGGGTGCGAACGACCAGTCCTTGCTAACTAGCCACTGTGCATGCAAGCACAGGCATAACGGAAACAAGTGCAACCTGCTATAGCTAAACAGAATATTAGTTTAAACCTTGATTTCTATGTTGTCTTCCGCATCAAGAGCTTTTTCCTGCAGTTGTTTTTGTCTCAGTCTATTCTCATTAATTAAAGCAAGTCTGTAATTTTCATAGTCATTAACAACTGATTCCGCTTCCTCTTTGTAAAGTCTTGTTAGCATACTTTGAAAGAAATCCAACTCGGGCAGTTTGAACAATTCCCACTTCAGTTTATGGTCATGTTCAAAGGGAGCTTTAGCATATACCTTCAACCAGTGTGGGATTTCTGAGGAAATAAATTCAATCAAGCATTAAAATTGGAAAAACGAGTATGTTAACTGCAAAGGCAAGTTACAACCAAGCAGTATTAGGTCACAATGGTATGGATCCTTACCGGTATATAGATGTGGATTGGGTGGCACCATTACTTCTGATCTTTGATGATGTTCCCCACTGTTCGAAGGTTGCTGATACATTGGTAATGGTGGTGGCGGTAATGGCAGTGGTAGGTTTATGTTTAATGTAGGATTATATCTTGCCACTGATGGTGCATTGGGATGTCTGTACTGTGCTTTTTTAGCTATATGACTAAAAAGATAAATTAACAAATACTATTAATTATAGACATGATAATGATTAAAAAAATTGCTTGTTGCTATAGAAACTAGGAGCCCCCCACCTACCAAGTTCTCAACTGATAATTAGACCATGGATTCTTCTATAGAGCCTTTCATTATGGCATGATATACAAGTAATGCTAGTTGCTATGGAAACAAGAAGCCAAAATAATCATTAGTGATCATTAGACCATAAGATATCTGAAATGATTAGGTCTAATTAGATATCTACTAAGGAGTTCATAGGTTTCAAACATAATAACTAAGGCAAACCTACTTTTACAGCAGGCTAAAATAGTTGAACACGCCCAACTCTGCACATGGCAGGCAGTTACAGAGTGGTTTTGCAACATCTGAATGCATACATATACAGTGAATTTGAATGTTTTATCAGAAGTAACATAACAAGACTAGTTAACATTGACCAATACTCTTGCTAGAATGTATCCAATCAGTGCAACAAAAACGTTGCACAATCCCTAGAACTATGGCTCTCACTAGCTCAACTTGAACCCATCTGAAGCCTGGGGCTCAGTAATTGCATACCAGGTGCAAATGTATGTAAACATTTTGTGCTCACTGTAATCCAAGTTCAATTTCAGTATGATCTGTTTTGTCTTAAACTAATCAAACTAAATGATTATACAATTCATACTAGCTCATCTGACAAGACAACTGAATACAGGATACTTTACAAACATGTGATTGGTGGATGATCCTCCTAGACAATATTTTTAATTGGTTAGATGAAGGTCGAAATAGTTTGTTGCAATGTTACTTACATCAAATTTTATATTCATATGGTTAATAAAGTATCAACTCACTTGACATAATATACACCATGTTCAGGAGATTCCACTTTTTCCCAGCCTGGTGGCAGACCTTCCCTTTCCAATGGATGATTCCAGTGGGTAGTCTTAGTATTGTGACTGTAAATCAAAACATAATTCATAACATTATATCATCCAATCTACTTTATGAGCTCATTACCTTACATCATAATATTACCTAAATGAATAATACAACCCATGATGCCACAAGTTGTACAATTTTTTTTTATACAAAATTAACTAGATATGTTGTGAATATCGTTATGTTTACCATACAATATTAGTTAGTGATGTTTCATGCTAAACGTCACAACTGTGACTAACATTGCTATTTTTATTTTATTGTTAAAATTGTTTTCATTTCATTTTGTTCGTTGTTGCTATACACTGTACTGATAGAAACATGTGTATTTTTAAAGATGCAATATCATTATTGCATCATTGTAGTTAATTAATTGATGGTTTAAAAAATGTTGTCTTTGAGCCAAACAGAACAAAACAAGGTACCCCTTGCATGGAATGCCATTTTGAGATATTTTGGTCTTAAAATGACATCTGGACATCTTGAATTGGATCATGAAACAATGCACATGCATATGTCTGATATAATATGTGGGAAGTTTCAACTCAATCCGGTCCAAGTATGTGTGATAAAGCTGCATACATATGGACACACAGACGCACACACAAATGTAAAAAAAGTTCCAATTTTTGGACAGCCTTCTAACAAGTAACTAACAAGTATGCAGTAATAGTCCTCTGTATTCAAACCATGTCTGAACGTGAAACTGATAATTGCATGTGTTACCTACTTACTCTATGTAAAACTTTCTATTCAATGTTCTAGCTGCTGTCCATCCTGGTGGTAACGGTAGATCTTCTGGCTGTGATACATTGCCTAGTGGTAGAATTGTCAAACTATTATGAACTTGACTCATAAATGTCTGGATAGGTAACATTTTATATATTAGTGAGAAACCACCAGGGTCATGGCACCATGAGTCCCATAAATTTCACTGATAATTAGTTATGTATGTACAAATTAAAAAAATATTTATTTTAATTACCTTCACAATGAGCCTTTATGCACACTTCTTAGTAATTTACTTAGATACAAATCTACTATCAGTGTGAATTTCTCAATTATTTTAACAACAAAATAAATGTTATTAAACGACAAAAAGTATAATATTTGAAATTTAATATATTATTGTTAAAAGATAACAATATACTTAGAAAGTACCTTTCAGGCTTATGCCCATTCTCATTTCCCTATTTATGATTTTTTCACTGAAATCTTACTGAAGTTTTACCGTTACTTACTAATTATAATTACCAATTTAATTAATAAATAAGTATTTAATCAACAATGTTGTTATGAAAATCCTGATAAAAAAAGTGTTAATTTCCGCTATCTTTGCCACTTAATTCTCAGTCAGCAATGCCCTGGTTGTAGATAACTAGCATCAGTGTATAGAATTTTAATAATTTGTAAACATTTAAAAAAAAACATGGTTGACTGAATTTCATTTCAATGTTAGGAGGTACCACATAAAGTTGAAATGTCTCATCATTTGTACAACACAATAATCTTCTCATTAAAAGGTTAACCTTTCTACAATAATATGATAACAGTAATATCACTTAATCTCTCTGCTGTTTAATTTAATCCTCTGGTGCTAAGTGGTGCATGTGTTTACATTTCCATTGTACCAAGTATCCATTACCTACTGGGTACAGTTACTCTGTATTGATCTTACTACTAGTAATGTGTAACTGAAGTGACTGGGTGTTTTGTTAGGGTAGAAACCTATGCATAAATTTTGAGAAAGTTAGCCATAAAAAGACAATGTTCATTGGTTTATTATGAAAAATAATTGAGCTATTGTCCCATGGCACAATGAAATAGCATTCCTTTGTGTGTTTCAATGAAATATTTTGAGAAACTAATATTTTTCAAAAATGTTGATAAAACACAATGTTAAAGAAAAATTACATTTTTCAAAACTTGTTAAAACCAAGGTTTATGAAATAAATCACAATATATGATTTTATATATGATCAACCTATGTCATCAGACTAAAATTTGAGATGACATAGTAATATCTTTGCCATGAAAATCTATGGTAAAAGTGTTATAATACTGACAAAATGGCCACTATCCACGAAATTTACATTATTTTCTTGAAAATTAGGCTGGTGATGCTTATATTGTCCTGGAGTACAATGTACCGGTATTGCAAAATTACCGAACTCAGGGTATTTGCATTTACAGGTTATCGTAAAATTCTCAATTTGTGCAGATGAGAATTTGATGATTTTATGGCATTTGAGAAGACAGAATTTTTCAAAAGTGTTCTATGACCACAGAGAATTTGTCACTGCTAAAAAATTGCAGGATTTTCATCGGCTTACGAAATTTTGTCTATCATAAAAGCAAAGGGGTTGTTTATAGTGTATGCATGTAAGGCTACATGTACAATACCATTTGATATAACTTGACTAAAATGACTAAAAAATTAGATATTTTTAGACCTGTTTTCCCAATTTTAATATATATTAATCATTAATTTTCATTTTGCATACTGACCCTACATATATATATTCCATTTGCAATTTATTTAAACATTTCAATTAATTTCAATCATGGAAAGTTTACCATGTTGAATGTATTGAAGGCGAAGATTGAAGGCATGGCATGATATTAAAAATATAGTGGAAAAGTTAATTAAAAAATTTAAATTAGGCAAATAAAAATTATAATATGGCATCTTTAGTAAAAAAAGAAACGAAAAGTATTTTCTGGCGTAGATGATTTTTTTGTGCCAAATAGTTGAGAAAGATAAATTAAGACATTGCAAAATTATCCATAGTTCAAGTTGTACTATCCCCAAAACTTTTAGCCCCCTCAATTTAGTTTCAACTGATGATTGGTTCTTGAGATACCAGTAGAACAGACACACATATACATTTAAACATAGATAGATACACACACAGAAATAAAAAATTTAGCCCATTCAAAACATTACGAGAATATTTCATAAAAGACGACAGAGAAGTTTTGATAATACAGTGCATGTGATGTAACAAGAACAATAATGATGGTAATGAGAGTAGAAGTAGATAAGCTAACCTAATGATTCTACTGAGGTAGCAGCAGTAAGGTCTAGTCCTGACTCATACTGTGATGGTGGCTGTTGTTGTTGTTGTAAGTATTTATCATCATAATGACTACTGGATGCATCTATGGGTAGCAAAAAACAAAAGCATACACACAACACGTGCACAGCAATATGTCTACAAAAATATGAACACTCTGAAAAGTGAACGATGCAAACAACTGTGCTTGACTAGCAACAAAATTGTAGTGTCAAACAAACAAAAATAACTTGCATCTATTTATGAAAACAAAAAAGCTATACAAAAACAAAAATGTAATATTTAGCCATTTACTGTCTGTGTGATATCAACAAACAAATGAAAACATTTATAATTATAATAATATCATAATAATAGAGGTACCTGAAACAGGATTTTGTGGAAAAAGACTGTATGTACTGACACTTCTGCTGTCTGCTCCCTTGGAGTATCCTGCAAAAAAACACAACGAAAATTATTAAACTGAGGAAAAATTAAAATTACAGAGAAAAACTAAATGTGAATATGATTCCATATAAAGACAGCATTTTCACATGTATGATAACTCTGGCAGTAATCTAAAGTAAAATGTTAACATACCGTACTTAATATTTCAATCGAAATAAAACGAAATTATAAATTGCTTTTTTTAATTTATCTGAATACATATAATAAACAAAGTTACTACAAAAACACCTTGTTTAATCAAAAAATTAATCTTTTGAGTATTATTCAAAATCAAATTTACTACTTTATATCCTAACTACAAATGTAAATTTTTCTATTAGACGTAACCTTACATATGTTAAGCAATGATACAATTAATCTTACCACACTCGGACATAGCGCCTCGGTTAACTGAAGACTGTGATGATGTCAAAATATCTGGCATTGACATATCTGAATTTGCTCTACTTGAAAAAGCTGGTGTTCCTGGAGTTGAT